ATATAATTGCATTTATATATTAACTAATTTTTTTTTTTTTCGATCGGCTTACAGACAATCGAATAGGATGATGTTGCTCAACTTCCTTTCATCTCATCCACCTCGTATAATGTAAATCTACTACGCTTACAAATTTCAAAATATTACAACGTACTTCAATGTATCAGGCGCACACACTGGAGAATATATTTCGATTTTATTTTAATATCGAAACTTAATATTAAACGTTCCCGAGAAAACAGGATTCTATATATATATATATTTTTTTCTTTTTTTCTTTTTTACAACAATCGGTACACATCGGTCCCCCGGTAGCTGGATCGTTTGTTTGACAATAAGTACAATTATCAACGATCCACGAGGAGAGGAAATTATTATTAAGAACGATTTTCGTTCGTTTATGCTGAAACATTTAAACACAGAGTTTTGCGTTGAACGAGTACGTACGAATTGATGATTAACCATAATGGATATCGATTCTGCTTATAACATATTTTGATGAAATTTTATTGGCAAAGATATTGCATTTAATAATTCATTCGATTTTCTCCCATATATAAATACTTTTATATATATATATATATATATCGTTAATTAATATGTTTCGCAGTTTCGTTTTGTTTATAAACCTGAGCGATATACAGCAATTTCGATATCCATTAAAAATTCGTACATGTTCTTTATGTCCTTATTCCCTAAAATTAAAACGTGAGAAGAGATGTTTTGTATATCATATAGACTAGATTACAATGGAAAAAAAAAAAAGAAGAAGAAGAAAAAGAAGAAGAATAAAAGAAAAAAAAAAAATAAATGACTTGTTGTTGTAACTTGCGAATCGATGCAGATGGAATAATCGAGCCGAATATATTCTCCGTTAACGTAATAACATCGTTGTTGGGTATTCTTGTGTAAAACTAGCTTCGATCGTTTTCTGATCGCACGATAACGATAAGTTTCTGTATTAGCTTTGATCAACCATTATTGCGAATGCGTACGTTGGCATCGTCATTTAACACATTAGATAACATCGACGATATAATTATTATGAACGAGTAGCAAAAATATTGCTATTTCCTTGTCTCGATGAAAGTGAAGAAAGTGTGAATCGCTCGAAAATTATTCTTAATACTCGAAAGATTAAATTTCTC